GATGGATATATATATATACAGATATAAAACCTCATTGAAAGATCAAAGAGAGAAATAAAAATATTTTCTTAATATTAAAGAGACCAATTCTCAGGATTTTATGATTTAAAGGTAAGCCATGCTCTGGTCTTGCTACAAACCTTTTAAGAGTGTAAGTTGATAAATTTCATTTGTTTTTGTTCTTATGAAATAATGTTTCTGAAATTTTGAATTATTTTTTATATGACTTTATGTAATGATTATAAAAAGTTCACAAAATAAATCATACATCCCTCTACATTTTTTTCTAATTTCAAACTTTGCTAGGTTAATTTTTATTTTGTCAGAACAGTTATTTTGTCTCCTTCTGTTGTTATTTATGTCTCTTTTGACTGCGTTATTACTTTTGTTCTTTTCGTTGTCATCTTTAACAGTAGATTCAGGTATTGTAATCAGCTAAATATGCCAGTGTGCCTACTTAAACTTTAGAAAGGTTTTTTGTGATACTTTGTTACAAAATGGTTTAATTATAGAAATATAGAAAACTGATCTTCAAATACAAATGAAGAATATGCTCTTGATGAATTTATTGATTTGTTACAGCTAAACATATAACAAATCAAGTGTTTGTGTGTTGATAATAGCTATAAATTAAGAGAATAGTGACAGTTTGTGTGTTTGCTTTTATGAGAGAGAAATTTAAATACAAGTATAATAATCAAGTTTGTATTCTAAGTGGTCCAAGTAGTGAATTATTAATAAACTTGAATATTTTACTTTGAGAGTTGAGTTGGTTTCAACTTATATTTTCACAGTATTATATAAATATTTCTTACCTTCTACTCTTGTCACATTATGGATGATATGTCATTGTTTATCATCAAAACTTAAATTGGTAACCTTATTCAGTATTAATTGCCTGCTAGATTGCATATTGCACAAAAAATCTTATTAAGCCTCATATAACATATCTATTCAACACTTCTTGGTGTATATGCTTGATATATACATTTCCTTTCTTGGTCAAGCCTCATTATAGAACTTCTCTTATGCATTCACTAAGTGTGCACAATATTTCTTCATATCTCATATATGCGTGCCATACATGGAATCTTATAAAATTTATATTTATCATTTCTTGAAGCCTTTGAAAATATCATAAAATGCTGCAAATGCTTCACATCTCTGTTAGCCTTATAAAGTGTGGTTCTGTTTATTTGCTACAACATCATACAAACTATGTATAAAGACTAAAAAACATTGTAATGATATAGAATTTATTCACTCGTTAATAACATTTTGTATTACAAAAATAATTTTGCCCAATGCTCTGTTGAATTTTAGCAAAGATTGATTTGAGATTATCTCTTCTATTAAATTTGTGTGTAATATGAGTAATTTCAATGTTAGGCATGTAACTTAAGGCAAGCCAGTGTAAATTATTTGCATGTAGATATTAATAACATGAAATAAACCAAATCAACATTTTTTTTAATTTGTTAAAATGTATTTAGTTTTTAAAGTTGGTCTATGTACATGAATGTTGCATAATTCTAGTTCCGCATATTATTTGGCGGTATTAGGACAAAAACATCTCGCATATGATACTTAACAACAGCAAAACAAAAGAAAGTTAATGAAGTAAGGAAGTATGGAGTACACCAATGCCATCATAATGTAGATTTGTTAATAATAGAAATTATCAGAAAAGTTGTTTCTAAGCGATGGTTGCTGTAGTAGTATATAGAGGAGCTGTTCTTGAACACTGAGTAGACAGGGCTGTTGTTTTCATGTGAGGTAACTTACTAAATTTTAAATAACAAAAGAAATCGGTAGATGATAAGCAGGTATAAAAAACTTTTTAAGACCTTTCTCTCTCTTTTTTTTTTGTAATAAGAACATCACTTCTTTTACATAACCTAACCAATGTATGTTTTTAAGATGAAGAACATTGAATATGTTGTTTAACATAGAAAGTTAATTATACAAAACTGAGGAAAATCAAGACAATTGTACATAAATACATAATTTATTACAACCAGTAAAAGCGTAATCATGAAGGAGTTGTAACAAATTTCCCTTTCCTCCTTTTTGACATAAACTGCTCCAAGGTGCTTCTATGTTTGTTCCTTTTACAAGTATCCATATAAAATCATTTGTTTTAATGAATAGAAGGTTCTCCACTGTTGTATGTTTCAAACTAAACCTTTGGTCAGCCTTTGGGTAAGGTTGTAACAAACTATACAAAACGTTGCTACAACCAGAGTCAAACATAAACAAAAAGATTTATTAAATATAATGAACTGATACAATAACAAAAGACTTTCAAATAACTAGAATAGAAGTTTTATTACTTACAAAAAATAATAAGTAAACCTGTGCCTGGCTAAGAGGAGGTATAAACGTTAATAAACAATACAACATAAAAACATAAATCTCAATGTGATTAATTTCGATAAATATCGAAGAAATTAGGAAAAAGAACCAATAAAATATAAAACATAATTCACCAAATAATAACACAATGTTTCAAAATTAAACCACTTCTCAATATCGAGCAATAATATTAACCATGTCTCATGAACATATTCGATTTCAAGATCAAGGAAGGCTTTTTTTTATTTAGTGGTTAAACCACGAGGTTACATCTCATGTGATTAGATATCACCATAAATCTACATAATCTTTCACAACATTAATATATGTACGTCACCACTAGGGAACGCTTATGTCAGTTTCACAATACATACATACTCAAAATCAATGTGCTCTAGACAAAAGGTGAGTTAGCAGTCTAATATAACTAAAAATTAATAGTTGAACTAAATGATAGAAGGAATAATAAATGAACAGTAAACGAAACCATAACAAAATAAAAGTAGAATTTGATATCTCGCAATGTGACTAAACCCTGCCTCAATGACACCATCAACATACAAACATTCTTGAATTCCTTCCTTCTGTATAGGAGCTCGTATTTCTAGAAATTCTTAGATTTTACTCCATTCATGCAGTACTTGACCATTCTCTTGAATTCTTTCCATTCTGAACTTTTCTGTTTTACTAAAATTATTCATTTTAGTGTCTCGTAAAAATGCTCTGCAAATAAACTGAAGCACTCAATTTCCCTGGTGGTGTTACTCAAGTTTGTTGGATCCATCCAAAACATACTTTGATAAAGTTCACTTTCAAATTAGGAGAATCTTGAATCAAGACAAACCTGTAAACTTGGACTGACTGTAGATTTCAGTTTGTCTACAGTTTTATCAGCACGGTCTAGATTGTTCATTAGACTACAGTTGACAATGACAATAGTGTATTCCTTGTTTTCTTTTTCTGACACTGCTTTAAGCAAAGTGTTCTTAAGATACCAGGAATTTGGTGTTATTTCCAGTTCAAGTTTGAACTTTTTCAAAATATTTTCACATTGTGTACCTGAAGTTTCTTCCTCAAGTTCCTGTAAAGCATCCTTTGCTTTTTCGACCATAGGCAGTATCTGATAACATAAAATATTGTGTTTTTCAAACTGCATAGACAGAATAGAACATGCATCCAGCACATCTTTGTGCAAGCAAACATTTTGACAGAAAAGTTAAGTCTTTCATCTTTTTTTAAGATTCCATGAAATTTAGCTGATACTACTCTCTCCTTACAACTGGCAAGGGAATTCTCTATTGCTCATGCAAGAATTACCCAGTTACTCAGTAAATTATTTACTCCACATCTTGTGTGTGTGCAACAAATCGTGTATCATGCACTTTGGGAGAATTAAAATGCTGCACATCAAATTTACTGGCAGTTGTCTCAAAGTGCCTTTTGAACTTTCCTAATCGTTTGAATATGTAATTGTCATGAAGTCATTCACATCAGCAAATGATTTAGATACACTATCTTTCAATGCCAGCTAAACTCTATGTGAAATGCAGTAAATGTCTAGAAGCCAAAGGCCATTATCATTTTTCAGTTCTTCTTGCAATCCATTGTAACCTCCAATATTAACAGAGTCTTCATTAGCTGTAACTGAAACTAGCAAGTGTGTATTTCTCTATGCCGGTATTGAAACCTTTCCATCACCTTTGAATACATCATCAGTGCTCCTTTTTAGAATACTTCCATCTGCATCACAAAACTATCAACGTCCTGTAAGGCATACCTGGTATACCTTGCATGACTGTTCGAATGAAAACCAGTTCTTTTTCAGAGCCAGTTTTTCTTGCCTGACTTCCATCATTAAGCACTGTAAAAGCTATGCTGAAAATAAAATCACTGCTACTTTCTCACGAATGGCTTCTGCAATAGCGTTAATAAATTCTTTCGCTCTATTGGTACTATCAAAAGTTGAAATCAGTTGTACCCCATTTATTTTTCGCTTTAACTGGGGTTCTGAATCCCGACTGAGCAGAGGCGTCGCTTGTACTTAAAAGATTCAGGGCTCATAGGGAATTTTCGGCGTTTTCTAAGATGTCCGTTTAAGAAGTAAATACAACTTGTTCACAGAGATTCCATCTGTCGAATGTTGACAACAAAACAGTTTCACTGGCTAAACTGAGGCATGTTTACAATTTAAAGTGACACCAGAACAGAACTATGTCAATCTCCGTTCAATATATGACAGTCCTTCGTGTCATGCACAGAATAAAAGTAGTTCGTCAAATGCAGTGTTCGATCACGATCAGATTTGTTAAAGCTCTTTTTGATGTTCTGAATATTCTAATAATGAATAACTAATTTTGTAATTTAAACTTTTAACACGTTGACTTAATTTCTCCATTGCAAACATTGGATGTCTATATAATATAACAATATTGTTCGAAAATATAGTATTACTGTGCGTGTAACATCGCTAGCCTAGGCCAATTGAAATTAAAATACTGGAGTTGTAGCAGTCAACAGGGTCACATTAAATTATCTGTGAGTTTGTCCTGTAAAACAACAATAGATGATTGCGTGAACAGCGAGTGTCACGAGTCTCCCGCTGGGACAGCGGTAAGTCTACGGATTTAAAATGTTAAAATCAGGGGTTCAATTCCCTCTCGGTGGGCACAGCAGATAGCCCGACGTAGCTTTGCTATAAGAAAAAAAACACACACACACACGAGCGTAATGACACACTTGACAGTCTAATAAGACCCGTAAAACTCATTTTATAGGCGCTTACGAGCGCCACTGCGATGGCGCCCATCAAACTTAAATGCATGAATTATTCATATTTTTTTTTATCTAAATAATAATATTTATTTTAAAAAACATGACTTTGTGCAAAGCTTATGATAGGAAATATATAATTAAATATACCAGCATTCCATTCAAACTGAATACATTTCTTACTTCCTTGTTTAATTTAATTCCATAAACTACCATCCACAGATGTCCCTCATCAAAAATTGATGTTGTTTTTTGCTGTCGTATTTTTCTTCAAGTACACTACCTTAAAACAAACATTAGCCAGCTTAAATAACTTATGGAAAATATTTCTTAGTGTATAATTGTTAATTTCCTGATGTTCTCTATTTAAGCATGTATATGATCTTCTGTTCCTTTTTTTTTTACTGTTTATTACTGATAAATTTTGAATCTGAAGGCTTATAACGATGAAAACCGGGTTTCGATGCCTATAGGAGCACAGCACAGATAGCCCACAGTATAGCTTTGCACTTATCTACAAACAAACATGCTTTTGAATAACACCAAATGCCAGGTCAACCTATACACATGTATCATGTTAGAAAAGAAAGATGTACAGAAATGACTCTCAAGTGACAGAAGTTAGCAGTTCTTGTTA